TTTACTTCTAGGAATTTGCCCTGCATATACTAGTTAAAGTACACCAAGTTACTGTATGTACAAGAATATTTACTGGAACATTGTCTAGCATGGTAAAACAAAGATGTTGATTTCAACATCTACCAAAAAGGGGAGTAGTTCAGGTCCGGACGCAGTGGCTCACGCCTGTAATCCCAGCACTTTGGGAGGGTGAGGCAGGCAGATCACGAGGTCAGGAGTTCGAGACCAGCCTGGCCAAAATGGTAAAACCCCATCTCTACTAAAAATACAAACATTAGCCAGGTGTGGTAGCGGGTGCCTGTAATCTCAGCTACTTGGGAGGCTGAGGCAGGGGAATTGCTTGAACCCAGGAGGCAGAGGTTGCAGTAAGCCAAGATCACGCCACTGCACTCCAGCCTGGGTGACAGAGCAAAACTCTGTTGGGGGGTGGGGTTAAGGGAGTAGGTCAGGCTAGGTGTAGTGGCAAACTAGCCATAGTCCCAGCTTCTCGGGAGCTGAGGTGGTTACAGTAAGCTATGATCCCGCCACTGCACTCTCGGTCTTTTAAAAAAAAAAAAATGGGGCAGGGGACAGAGGGGAGGATTAGTTCAATTACCCCCCTATAAAAGTTTGTACAGATTTCTATACACTGACTAGGAATTGATTAGGTTAAAAAGATAAATAAACCATAGAACAGTATGTAGAGTATGCTCCTTCTATTCCTATGAATTATTTGTGCATTGAGAAATTGAGCCGATGGCCGGGCACAGTGGCTCACACCTGTAATCCCAGAACTTTGGGAAGCCAAGGCAGGCAGATCATTTGAGGTCAGGAGTTCAAGACCAGCCAAGCCAACATGGCAAAATCCTGGCTTTACTAAAAATACAAAAATTAGCTAGAGGTGTTGGTGCACATCTGTAATCCCAGCTATTCGGGAGGCTGAGGCAGGAGAATCACTTGAACCTGGGAGACGCAGGTTGCAGTGAACCTAGATCACACCACTATACTCTAGCCTGGGCGACAGAGCGAGACTCTGCCTCAAACAAAACCAACTAACCAACCAAACAAACCCGAGAAGTCAGGCTGAGATTGGAGACTGGAAAGAATGAGAGATTTTCACTTTTTTTAGACCCTTCTGATTTGCAGAATTTTGGAAAAATCTGCATGTAAAACTTTTAATTTAATTTTTATTGTTAAGTATACTCCTCTTGTGGACCACCCTCCCCATCAAACCAAGTGTAAAACAAGTACTTTTATTGGCATTAACTCTCTTCCTTTCACCCTCTTTCTCTACAATTCCCTCACCCCAAATGTTCTTTTTTGCTCCCAGTCTGTGGGAGCACAGGCTGAAAACTAAAAGGTTTCAATTGTGGGGTGCCCTCCCTAGCTATACATTTAGTACATTTTCTCAAGTGTTCTTTCAGAATGAACTGTTTTCTTCAACATTTGCCAAGCTAATAAAACCATAAGAAAGACAAACACAGACTTTACTAAAACATCACCTATCAAGGTTACTTAGTAACTACAATGCAAGCAAAAGGATCACATTTAAAGTCCTATCTTCCAGTTCACTGCAGTGTTCTGTCATATTACAAAACATTGGCCAGGCGTGGTGGCTCACACCTTTATTCCCAGCACTTTGGGAGGCTGAAGCAATGGATCACTTGAAGTCAGGAGTTCAAGACCAGCCTGGCCAAAATGGCAAAACCCTGTTTATATCAAAAACACAAAAATCAGCCAGGTGTGGTGGCAAGTGCCTGTAGTCCCAGCTACTCTGGAGGCTGAGGCATGAGAATCACTTGAACAGGGAGGCAGAGGTTTCAGTGAGCCAAGATCGTGCCACTGCACTCCAGTATGGACAACAGAGAGACTCTGTCACGGAGAAAAAAAAAAAAAAAGAAAAAAAATTTGTAAATACCACATGTCTATCAACAAAGGGCTAATTTTAAAATTGATAACCCTCCTATAACATTTTAGAGTCATTTAAAATGTTTTATATGTATTGACAAGATACTGAGCTGCTTATATAATCCCATACTTGCAGAAACAGATTTCTGTATTTGTGAAAATGTATTTTGTGCATGGATATAATAAAGAGTGAGAAAAGATATAAGCGGAAATGTTAGCAGTGGCTACTTTGGTACTGAAGTTCAGGGTGATTTAATTAAATTTTCCTCTTTTTTTGTTTTGGCTCATTTTTCCCTACAGTGATCATATATTATTTTTATAATTAAAAAAAAATTATAGGTAGGGTGCAGTGGCTCATGCCTGTAATCCCAGCACTTTGGAAGGCCGAAGCAGGCGGATCACCTGAGGTCAGGAGTTCCAGACCAGCCTGACAAATACGGTGAAACCCATTCTCCACTAAAAATACAAAAATTAGCCAGGGGTGGTGGCAGGCGCCTGTAGTCCCAGCTACTCAGGAGGCTGAGAAAGGAGATTTGCTTGAGCCTGGGAGGCAGAGGTTACAGTGAGCTGAGATGATGCCACTGCACTCCAGCCTGGGAAACAGAGTGAGACTCCATCTAAAAAAAAAAAAAGAATTAGTTGGGGGTGGTGGTGCATGCCTGTAGTCCCAGCTACTCAGGAGTCTGAGGCAGGAGAATCACTCAAACCCACGAGAGGTGGAGTTTGCAATGAGCCAAAATCACACCACTGCACTTCAACCTGGGCAACAGAGTAAGACCAAAAAAAACAAAAACAAACAAACAAAAAAACCCCACCAAACCAATTATAAAGAAAACAGAAATTTCAGTCTCCAAAAGAGATATGGAATGACCTAGGCTGGCAACATGGTGGAAAAAATAAGTAAGTGACAGAGAGAAGCTGACTGAAATGAACATGGCATGGACAGCCAGGGTACTCTGGGCGAGATTCCTCACTTCATTCATTTACTATTTATTGAGGTCCCGTGGGTGAGGAGAGTATGCTAGATGTGATGAAAAGGATGGTAGGGTCCCCTGCCTCCAGGAGTTAATGATACAGTGAGGACACATGTTAAACATATTTACCCAAATCATTATCAATTACTATTATGAGGGGAAAGAAAGTGGGGCCATGATGGAGTGTTTTCCTTGCCTTGCCTCCTCCCCAATTCAGTGTCCCTCACTTGTACCATGAGAAGGCTGTAATCTAGGCTGAGTTCCTTTCTATGAGGCAGTCTTTTGGAGTGAGGCTTTGGGAAGAAAATGAAACCCCAAATCGGCCCTGCAGCCAACTGAGGGGCCCGCAGAAGGGAGTGAGCAAAGACCTACAGAAAAGCTTTGCTGACACTGTATTTCTTAATAAAATCAAGTTAGTTTCAAGGTGAGAGGAAAGCTCCATCTGCCTAAATCAAATCTGTGTTACTTCACTAACCCTTTGAGAAAGTTACCCAGCAAAGGAATAAAAGTATGGTGCAGGGAGGATGAGGAACAAGGTGCAATATTAAATGGCTTCTAGTTAACAAGTAACCTGACTTTTCCTTGTTATTAAATCAAGCTCACCTTGTACTCCAGGGATCTCCCAATCCCCCACCAAGAGGGGTAAACAAGAACAAGCCAAACAAACGGGGCATGCTTCCTAGACAGACCTCTGAATCATAAAGATGTTGAATTATCTATACCAACATGTACTTTTTAAAAAAGTTTGCTCATACTAACCTTTGCTCCTGAATTTTAAGTTTCCAACTTCAAAGGACATAGAGGAGAGGTGTTCATTACAGTTTTCAATACTTCCCAGAGCTAAATGTCTTTATTCTGGTGCTGATTAATAAAAAATATACCAGTGGTGCACAGTTTTCAAGCTGAAACCCCTTAACACCCTTTTCAAGCTTAACACCCTTTCTCCTAACTGCAGAGGGAAAAGGATCACATTCTTCCATCTAATTCCAACGCACTGTGACTTGCTCTTTTACATTGACTTTTTGAAGAGGAGGATAAAAGTGAGAAACTGCGTTTTACAGCAAGTCTGCATATTTCTCAGGGAAATAAAACCTCCCTTTGACTGCTACCCAGGCTGCCCCAAACTGCAGGGCCTCGGTTAGCATCACAGTGGCGTGATCGCAGGTCAAACATACCCCACGGCCACAGAGAGGCCTGCTGGGCCCGGAAGAACACACTCTCAGCAGAACAAGTTCGAGCACACCCGGAGCAGCACACCCGAGGAACGCCCGGGCCGGGCGCAAGCGCTGCTCTGTTCCCAGGGAGGCCAGCTTCGGGCCTGCAGACCCGGGTGGCCGCCAGTGGCCGCTCTGGGTGGCACACTAGGGAGGTCTCGGAACCCCAGGCCCAAATATAAGGCAGGGTCTAAGAAGTTCCCCTCGTAAATCCTCGTGTCGTCCAACTGGCCTGAGCGCTCATTACCACGAGAACCCAGCAGGGTCGGCCCTGACTTTATACCCCGGGCCTTCCATCGTGGGTGCCAGGAGCCACGAGTCCCGGATGGGTCTCGAACGCCGGGAGCAGAACCCGAATAAAGGCTTCCAGTAGGTGGGTAGGGGGTGCAAAAAACAACCTAGAAGGCTCTCGGGCCGCGGGTTCCCACCCACTCCGCCCTGCCCTGCGCCATCAGTTCGCTAATTCCACTGGCCCTCCGGGGCCAGCAGAGGAAGTCTCCAGAGTGGGCTAAAAGCTCCTAATGACTTAGTGTTTACAAAGAAACCAAGCCCGGGGAGGGAACTGGGTCCTCTGGGTACCCTTTAGACACGGTCACTCCTTCCTTCCCTCCCTTTCCCCGCACCCCCGCTGGGGGCTGCAGGTGCCCAGCATGAGAGCCTCTCCGGTAAGTGGAGGTCTTTGGGGAAATCTCTGCCTCTGCCGGGCTCTGCCGACTTCAGCTGCTCCCGCATGTCCCACGAGGGTGTCTCCTTGGCGCAAAGACCCCCACCATCAAAGCCATCAAGGGGAGGCTGACGGATTCGTGGAGGTGGGTGCCAGCAGCAGAACAGCCTTCGCGTACCTGCCCGGATCCCACCATCTACCCGGCGTGCCCGGGACCCCAGCTCCTCAGCGGTACGAGCCCTCCACGGCCAGGTTTCTCACCTTGGATAGTGCCATTGCAGGAGACAGAGGCCGCCAGCAGGACAGCGGCCCGCAGCAGCCACGCCGCGCTTGGGTTCCGCATCTTCCCAGACCCAGACGCAGGGCGCTCGGGGGATCCGCCGCCACGGATTCGAAACTCAGAGCTCTACTGGACGCACCAAGAGAAAGTCAGCTGCTCACCCGCCCCTAATCGGAGCCTCTGCGCTCCTCATCCGGGCGGGAGAGGTTTCTGGGAAACCGGAGGCGCCACTGGACTCACCTGCGGGAGGCCACGCCCCGAGACCGGAACGCGCACCCCGGCCCAGCCCCTCCCGGATACCTGCTCTGCGCGACTGCGCCCCCCGCTCTCCGGACGCGCGCCAGGTCTCCGAGGCTGCGGGAGCCGCCTGCGGGCGGGGTTGGGCGGATGAAATGTCTACTTTGGAATGCAAAGAGCCGGGGCGCCGGGACAACGGGTTATTCCCGGCCTGGGCTCTGCCGCAAACTACCTTTAACCTTTACTCACTCCTAAAGAGCCGGATCGTCTGTCTCCTGACTGTCAGAAAGCCACGATCCGAACTCACTGCAATTATGGTTGGCAACTGATACATAGCGGGCTTCCCGGTGCGGTGGACACTGCAGGAGGAGGGATGCGTTTTTTATTGCAGAGGCAGGTGGGCAGGTGCGGGCACCACGAAAGCGGTGGGAAGCACAACGGGCGGGATGGGCAGAGGCAGGGGTGAGGTGGAGCGGGAGAGAAGAGATGGAATGGCTACTTTCAGTGCCAGGTGCCAAAGCTTTAGAGTATTATCTTGTTTAATCCCCACAACAACCAGCGCAGCAATAAATACGATTATTCTTCCCATTGTACAGACGAGGAAATTGAGCTCAGAAAGATTAGATAAATTGGCCAGAGTTACACTGTATATAAACACAGTGTATAAATGTTTATCACATTTCAACTCTTGTCTGTGATTGCCATTGTCTTCTTCTCACGGCACTATAAATGCGTCCACCGGCGCTCCTCTGCATTGGGATCCCATAGGCTAAATAAACATATACTGTAAGCAGATCGAAGGGGTAGGGAGAGGAGAAGTGTGGGGTTGGGGATGAGTGCATGAGGGTTCGTATCATATTGGTAATGTCTTACTTTCTATTAGCTTTTTTGTTTTGTTTTGTTTTTGAAGAAGTGGGTTCTTTGCTACACCTACCCTCCTGACCACTGTGTGTGTGTGTGTGTGTGTGTGTGTGTGTGTGCGCGCGCGCACGCATAATTTAAAGGTCTCTGAGGATAAAATAGTGACTAGTGACCGAATTTGATACATAGTCTTAGCTCAATAGATATTTTTTGTTTCTTCCTTTCTCTCAGGAGTCTTCATACTCCACCCGCATCCCAGCTCTCACCTCAGCCCATGCCTGCTTTTCCTTCCAGGAAAAGTTGACTTCTAGAAGCAGAAGGGTATTTTTTTATTTCTTGTAGAGAAACTTTGACATCCTGAACAGGGGACAATTCTCCTGATGGGGATCAGGCCATTCCTGAAGGTCCCTCCCCAGGGACAATAACTGATTCCTAAGATGTCCTTTCAAACTTTTCAAGCATCCATTTCCTCAACTG